GACTTATCGCAGTCGGAAACGGCTGCCCAGAAAGTTCTGGACGCGGCAGAGAGCGCAGCCCACGAGACGTAAGTCACACTTACACAAAGACTTAGTGTTTAGTGTTGCAGGATGATGCACAGACCAGTTTAAGAATCTCAAACCAAAGTGAAAGCTTTTAAGTCTACCCTGAAATGACCGAAACACCGCTCTGCGGTTCAGACGGCAGTTGGCACAAGTCTGCCGGGGCACGAGGACCTTATGGCAGGCGGTGGTCTCCGTTGCCCATCGGGACAGAATGGGTGAGACCACCTGCTGGGAAGTCAAGGGCTACACACACATTTCAGTATGTGCAGTGCCCCACACCGCCCTCCGTAATGCAGAGCCATCTGTGGTGCTCAGTCCAGTTTCAGCACGGCCATCACGTGCAGCAAAATGAAAGACCATTTCATAATGAAATGCTAGATCCCAGTAGTAAGTGGAGCCATCTGGCACACGAGTGGAAAAACAGGGCCGATGTCAGATATTGTTGGAGCGCAGATCGACCGGGTTTAAAAGGTCCGGTTCTTCAGAGCCGAGGTCATACGGAGACCATTTGCACAGGATTCCAAATATACAAATGAGATCAGAATCACGAACCAGGACCACATCGATGCACACGGGCTGCACACCGGTCCGGGTTTGTCCTCGGCTTTAACCGGAGCACATTGGTGGTGTTTGTGATTATTCAAAGAAAGGGAAGTTGATTGAAGCATTGAGATGCACTTTGAATGACATTATTTTAGCACGCATTTTAAACGCACAACTAGGGAGGAGATCTGTACTGAAATCAACAACAGGGGAAATGACATGAATGGAACTTCAACTTTATGATGCAATACACTTATTTGAGTGGTTGCTATTATGGTCAAATGGTTCTCATTAAATATGAATAGCTTGACACTTGTGTTTGACACTGAAGTGTGTTGAGCTGATGGACTTCCTGCTGGTATCTCACTCTGATGCCTACTTGTGTTTCCGTTTCCACCGGCTTGGCGTGTATGTACACTATGCATGTTCTGTATTCTGCCTGTAAGCCGAACTGGGACTAAGCCACAAAAACAACGTCTGCCTGCCAGGCCTGTATTCCGTTACCGTTTCTCTTTTTCCAGAATATTCTTGCTCAGTTTTTATATTCAGCAGGCATTGACAACTAAAGCTAAACTACGATACATTAAGAGTACACCCGATAAACATCAGCATGTTGTGATCATGTGATTATGGTAAGAATGTTAGAACACGGGTTGAGAGTTTTAGTCTTGCATGTAGGGCAAAGGGAAAAGGTAAAAAGATACACAGCCGGCTGCATTCTCTCTCTCTGACACACACGTCTCTTACTGGAGGTGGAGGCGTGGGGCTCCCGCTCTCTCCTTCCTCCTCTTCATCTGGTGTCCCGGGACAGCAGGCTCAACTGTAATCTGTGATAATCCAGCGGACTGCATGAGCTCATCCGTCGGTCAAACGCATCCTGCACAGTCCTCTTCCTGCTCCACGCTCAACCAAAGACCGGACCACAGTCAGTCCTCCAAGACCCCGACATCAGAGCTTTAGATACAAAGGAGTGACCGCGGCGTGCTACGTCAGCACCTGCTCTTATCTCCAGACAGACGCACACACGCAGCTATGTGAGGTATCTAGGGTAGAGCGTTCCCTCACCAGCAAGCTCGGGCTTGCCGGGTCACAAACTCGGAGGCCGTTTCAAAAGCACACAGGGCCTGTGGAGCGGCGTCCACACAACGCACAGTAGGAAAACTCTGGACTCTACAAAGCCTCCGTTCCTCTTCGTGAATAAAAGAGGATCCAAAAAAAGTCTCGGAGAACGTTAAGCTCTGAGCCGCTCCATCATGTCAGCTGATGCAGGGAACTGGTCCCGTCTTGTTGGCGGTAGCGGCCCCTCAGTTTTTGACCACCGAGCCACCGGACTCATAGCGACGCACGCAGCTGCTTGGACCCGGGATCAGAGTGCCTTCCCTGGGTAAAGTCTGCCCATTTAATCCCTCTCGCTTCCCGGAAGTGTCAGCTGGTGTGATCGCTGTGATGAGCCTGTCGGCTGTGAGACGACAGGACTGACTGAGTGCTCAACACACAGCAGTGAGAGGGACGGGGGGGGGGGGGGGGGGGTATGAGAGTGGGAGGCGAGAGTGTAGAGGCAGGAGGGAAGACTGTGACGTACTGCTTTATTCTCATTATTTAGTTGTTATTGTCTAAAGGGTTATTTTTGATAAAAGAGAACTCAATGGTTGAGGTTCATGTATAAAATGGTACTGATGAAATTACTTCTTTTATTTACTCTTTTTAACTTATTTTATTGCCATTTAATGACTTAAAGTAAAGCTTATTTGATATATTACTTTTAAAATTACATTTTTAAGTTATTTTTTCAAATCTGAGGACTTTCTTGGCTTATAATACATTTGTTTCATGCTCTAGTTAATATTATGAGTTCTGCACTTCAAAATGTCCTGGAATGATTCCTCTGGCAGCAAGAAAACTAAACCAAAGTTGACCAACTTATTCGGTCTTTAATCCTGTTCCAGTTCAGGCATTTGTCCTGATGACCATACCTTAAAACCATACAAGGGAATTGGCTCTTCCTCTGCTGTCCCGATACGATCAGACCAGCTGTCCACTCGGTGTCCCTGCTCCGGTTTCTGAGAAGCTCGGGGACACCGCCGACCCGCGGGGGGCTAAATGCAGCTCACACGCCAGATTGCTAATTCGTAAACAATGGACTGGATCAAGAACAGCTCTGACTGGCGTAAAGTTACAAACACACACACACACACAGTTAATGTGGAGTGATCACTGACTGAAGGGCAGCCACAGGAGACGAGAATGTCAGTGCACACCAACAAGGACCTGTGAGTGTGTGAGAATATGAGAAATGACCCCCTTACTGAGACTGTGCTCATGACCTTACTGAAAGCTATGCAGAGAAACAATTGATCTAATACATTCGTTCAACTGAGTTTAAGGAGATAAATTGAATTAGGAGAGGACCCGGCGGCTCACAAGCAACTTCTGTATCTTTGTAAAGTCCTTGGTGAGCCCTCGATGTGACAGCGATAGTTTGAAGCACTCGCTCCCAACTTAGTCATGGGGACGAGAACGTCCTGTCGCGTGACTGAAATGTGCTCTACTCGGGCAGAAATGTAAAAAGAGCAAAGACATGAAAAAAAGGTTAAAATGTTTGTTTGGCCATGGCAAAGACAGGAATCAGCTCTCATAGACGCGTGAGAGATAAAAGTGTTTTTTATTCAGGACTATAGCGACAAGAAATAGTGTATACTTCCATGGTTTATATCATTAATACCTTAGATTAGAAGATTTAGAGTGATTGTGCAAGTGCTGAACGTAAAACCTGCCACAGATGATTAAAGTTATTGAACCATTCCCAATAACCAGTGCACTGTTGTTTTATCGAAATACATTTTCCACTCCACTGTACATATTTCTATTTTACTCTTATTTTACTAAATATGCTATAGATACTGGTATTTTGTGCACTTTTTCTATTGAATTTCTTAGATTTAATTGAATATCTTTTGCTCTTATCTTATTGCATTGTGTATATAATGAGCATTTTGAATGCGTTTATGTTTACTATGTAACCAACCTGCTGCTGCCTCACACAAATAAAATATACTTCTATCTAAATATCTATCGCATCACCAGGGGACTATAAGCTCATATGAGGGTTGGATGAATGCATTGAACAAATAAACACCTGGATGTGCAAGAATTTTCTTCAATTTAAAAACGATAAAACCAGAGGAATTCTTTTTGTGGTCGAGGACGAACGATTGAAAGCCAGCGCTCAGCTTTAACCGCTGATGTCAAAAAGCAACAGGCAGAAATCAAGGCTGGATGCAGACCTCAATCAGAACAGCCATATTAAGACTAACAAATTCAGCCTATTATCCGGTGAAGAATACATCAAGGATTCAAGGACTTTTGTCTCAAAAGGATTTAGGAAAACGTGTTCATGCATTCGTCTTCACTAGAGTGGGCGTTTGTAACGGTGTGTTCACAGGTCTCTGCAAACCCATTTGACCTTTTGTAACAAGTCGCTTGGAAAGCAACCGGCGTGTGATGCCATGTTACATGGCCATGAACGACTATTAGTGAACGTTAACATTCTCCTGATTTAAGCATTTCACGTGGCTGTGTTATACGTTTCGGTGTGCACGGGCAGACTAAAGGAAATGGGAGAATGTTGTTTCTCGCCGTATTTCTGTCTTCCAGGTCCTTGGAGATGCGGGGGAACGTTGACAGCTAAAGCGCACAGAACTGTGGCGTGAAACTCTACAGACCCGCTGTGGTTGTGCAGTTTCTACAGTTTGGGGGAACAGCGGAACTCCAGGGTGACTTACGATGATGACACTATGAAGACAGGATTATAACTCAATAGTCCTCTAGAAGCAAGTTTTCAAACATCAAGAACTTTTCGAGCAAGACGGTAAATTAGCTGCCTGGCGCAAGAGCCTGTGCACGAACGCACGCACACCCTGATATAAATAGGTCTGCATCTACACACAGTGGGATGCTCAGCTGTTCTGGCATACACACACACACACACACACACACACACACACCTGGACTCCGTGCCTTTTAAAACTTCGTCCTCTAACCCCTTTACTGGAAGCTCTGTATAACTTGATAGCTATGACAAAATGAACACAAACTATCTCAGTGACATTTAAAGGCCATGTAAGAGATTTTGAAGCCAAGCTAGTATGTGCAGACAAACACATACTAGAATAGGACAGATACTAAAAGTCAACATGGAAGATTACTAAATGTTAACAGGCTCTCCTCTGCTGGTATTCAAAAGTTCACACCCTGTAGCACACCAGGCAGAATGCATCCGTGTGTGTGGTTCATTGCATTTCACTCTCCAGCGGACACCTGTGGAAAAACAAACAATGCAGACAGGGCGGGCCCTCACTGCACCGAAGACAGAGGGCATGATGGGTACTTACAAACTGCCTCTTCTGGGAAGGCTCAGCTCCTTCTGAAAGAGAAAGAAAGAAAGAAAGAGAGGTTTTAATTATTTTTGCTGACTTCTTTGCAGGCAATTGATGACGGACAAGTCTGGGCATCCAGCTGTAGAGCTTTGTTACAACAGGTCAGTACAGGTGTTTGGCCACCAGGTGTCACTGTGACATAACTTCACAGGGACGCTCTAACATGAGACATCACAATCATCCTAAAATAAATATCACAGGAGGCCAAGAAACCCCCACGTCTTTGTAGTCTCTCGGAAATACAACAAAGACTAAGGCGAAGATGCCATCCATGTGTGGAGAGGTGAGTTTCATTTGTGCACCACAGCTGCAGTTCCTACAAGCGACCACACAAGGGCAGAGGAGTCTCATCAGCATCACAAGCTCATGGAAGCTGCTCCTCATTTATCAGACAACGCTTAAGAGAGGCAGGCCGCTGGACGCGTGGACAATATGCTTTATTCATCCTGTTGCTGCAATTATCCAGACGTTTTAAAGTGTACGGATTCTGATTTCGATCCCTAAAGACCGCATATAAAACTGATGTACACAACCTTTAACCTGACAGCACCTGGCAACAGCTGGAGAAAACAGACCGAAGACGTCCTGGAGAGCACCACCTGGCTAACCGCACTAATAAGTGTGTGTGTGTGTGTGTCGCTGAGGCAGATGGCTGTTGGAAACAGCGTATAGGGTTCACAAAGTAGGTCAACAGCTGGTTTTATTTTGCAAAAACGCAGCAAAGAGACTTCTCAGCGTCAACCAGTATGAAGAGTGCAGCAATACTTCCTTCACACTGAACATATTCTACGTATCACCGCATCCATTTGCGTCTTGTGATTCTGTATGTGTCATCAGGGCAAATACAATGTGCTCTGTCTGCCTTGTGTGTGCATGTACGTATGGCTGCCTGTGCATAGATTTCTACTTCTGCAGTAGCATCTCAAAATGGGTTGTTTCTTTAAAATGTATACTAAAAAATGTATTTACAAATGACAGGCAGAAATGCATTCAAGCCAAATATTCTGCTCGTAAAAACTTTCCTCATCATCTGCAGCTTCTCAACCTTCTCGGACCGTGTTTGTTCCTAATCATTCCTGAGTCTAATCATCAAAGCCTGTTGTGCGCTCTGATTAATTAGTGGACCGTCCTGTGCACACTGAGCACGTGCAGAGCGCTCAGCAGAGACGAGGTGCACCTTTTGGCTCTGCTCCCAGACCTGTTGTTCTGTTTGCGATTTACCGCTCCATCACAGCCGGTGTCTGCCACACACGCACTGTGCGTTCCCGCGTGGGACGGCTGTGTCATCAGAGTCTGCCTCCGTCTCTCTCAGATGCAGATGTGCTAATGGACGTAATGGGGTTCAGTCGGAGCACCGTGAGTGGGTGAGTGGGCGGATGGCAGAGGCCTGTCTATAGTAACTGCAATCAAAAAGCTTTGCTAGTTTTCGAGTGGCCCTCCTGGAGGAGTACGCCACCAATTAGCGTGTGTGTGTGTCCGTCAGACGGAGCGCAGTGATTCTATTAGTCCCGGGAACAGATGTTGCCCAGACCCACAGGGACAGGAAATGCCTAGAGCTTCACGCGGGAGGAGGCAATCTTTTACAACCCCCCTTGCCCATCCCTAGGCTGCATTTACACCGCGGGTCTTAATGCCTCGTTTGAGGACGCGCAAAACAAGCGCCAAGCTAAACGCGTTGAAACCTTTTAGCAGGCAAACACATTACTGACCGAACGGTTCAAGTGCTCCTCTACTGCTGCGCACTAAGGTTAGTTTACCAGCTAAGGCAAAGTGTAATAACACCATTTTTAATACTTTGATACTTATTTTTGAGTTCAAATAAATATCAATATGCTCTTCAAGGAAGGGCACCCGAAACTGGAGTGGCACTGTGGAGAAATGTCTAAAAAATTATTAGAAAATGATCTACATCAATAATAATAAAACTGAAAGTTACAAGCAAAAGAAAGAGGGTGAGTTACATCAACAGACTCCCTTGGGTGTGTGTGTGTGTGTGTGTGTGTTGCAGCTGCTGCTATCTGAGGCCTGAGGGAGGATGATCATCTCAAAGCCACGCCGCAAAAATAACCAAAGAGGGAAAATAAGCTAATGCCCGATATAATAACACACATATGCTGAACAAACACAAACACACACACACACACACACACACACACACACACACACACACACACACACACAAAGAGGCGGCTTGTATTAAACTAAACCGGCACAAAGAGCGCTGTGATGAAATTATCCCCGGCGACGGCGAGGAACTGAACACAAAGCCGGAGGCAATCTACCCGATGGAATACAGCCATCGATAATGTGCTTTATGGGCAGTGGGGGGAGGCAGGAGTGCTGGGGGGGTAATGTGATTCCAGAGATGGAGGGAGGGAGGAGCCGGTGTAGGAGGGCCGGGGGGGGTAAAGAGATGCAGGTTGAAAGCCAAGAGTCGAGGCGCAACAAAAGTTTCATGAAATGCAAACAACCTTCAACCGTAGGCGACATCAGCGGCGCAGCACCACGCGGTATCGCATTAGTCGATGGCGGCGTGACAAACACAAGGTTATGTCGGGCCAATCGGGCTAATGGAGCCACGGGGACACATTCTGAATCCTTTAGTCATGCAAAGAGGAAAAGACATGGGCCTCTTCTACTTGTTTCGCGGCTAAAGCGTCGCTGCCAGCGAGCGGAAGAATGACTCCTCCGACCCGCCGCTTGGCTTCACGTGGAACCGGCCGGCCTGAACAGTTGCACCAGTCACCACGTGCTGAAACCGCCGACTGGCCTGGACCAGGACATGCAGCGGTGGCTGTCCAGCGTTCGCTCCGTAGCCACGGTAACGACACGCGGCTGAGACAAGTCTGTGACTGACAGCATGACAGATGAGGGTGTGTGTGTGTGTGTGTGTGTGTGTGTCAGGAGAGATGAGGAAGTCACAGCGCGCTCAGGTGACAGTAGAACATCCTCGGGGAAGAAGAAAGGCACTTTCCCTCTCAGAGAACCCACTGCAGCGAGTCCGTGTTCATGGAACAAAGAAAATCGATGCACAGTATTGGGTCTGAACTCACTCAACTGCTTCCCGGCAGTGTGTGGAGAGTATTTAGTTGGCAGAAACATTACTAGCAGCGTTTGATGCTCACTTCTTTGAGTTAAGAGGTAGGAAACCAAACAGTGATGTTAGCTCAGCGGCTTTGATGAAACGAATGCTGAACAGATGGATGAAAGGCAAAGACGGGATACACTGTGGGTTGAAAATGGACTCGGATGGGCACTGAAGCAGCAGCTTGGGTATATCTTAACTCATATTTTCCCGTCATAAAACACTGCTTTTGGGGGTGATGAGTACACACACTTTACCAACAGACACAAACACATTCAGAAGCATTTATCCAAGAAACGGGCCTTCGAGACTCGCCGGCACCATGAGGATAGATCCTCTTCTCTGAATGTGTGAATAACAGTGTGCGTGTCTGTGTGTATACAAGCTTCAAGCTCAGTACACCGGTTTCTGTGACTGTGTGCGTGTGTGTATTAAGCTGCTCCATCGGGGGGGGGGGGCGACCATAATAACAGTTTTAGTCGAGCTAAAAACATGCAATTAACAGGAGGATGCAGGGGAGCCGAGCTCCACCGGAGACAATTAAAGCTGCTGCAGCAGCCGGCAGCTATAATTTATTATCAACACTGTGAATATTGATGAGGAAACAGTGACAACCAAGAGAATCCACGGATGACAAACGCGGGTTGAAATAGAAAAGGAAAACACAGATATTAGTCTTTCAAATTGGGTGAAGAGAAAAAGGTGATTCTGGCATCGCTTTATAACAGAAAGCCTATCGAAGGAAATCATTTCAACCAAGTGGCTGCAAATTCATTTAATTTGCCCGTGCGGGCGACCGAGCGCCTTCGACACAGCTGACCTTCCGGGGAACGGAGAGCGAGGGGGGGGGGAACCAAAATGAAGGAATCTGTCACATTAGCAGTGTGCGCCCCACACGTTTTCATATAAGCTGCCGTGTCGGAATAATAACCCTAATCCACAGCAGAGATGTCTGCGGCCAGCTGCGAGCCAGCAGTTGACGGAGAAGCGCGACTGGCGGGCTACTCCGGCTGTCTGGTGGCGGCGTGATAAGCCCAGCGGGGGGTATTAGCGGTTGGCTAGCCGCACACTTCAGCTGGGCAGTTTGTCGCCACCACAGCGCTGCTTAAAGTCGATAGACGAGGCCGTTCATTTACACGAAACACGATGCCGTTGCAGGTTCGCAAATGGAACGATCTAATCTCTGGTTCATTGTAAACTGGGCATGGAAAATGGCTTTCACCTTCAATAATGTGTTTTTGCCATATTTGTCATTTCATAGACAAAATGATACGTCGATGAAAAATAGAATCACAAATAAGGTTGGGGAAAAAAAATGCGGATTTTCCATTCTAAAAGGATTGAGGATATTTGGATTCACCCGATTACTGTGATTTTCGTTTATAACTTTCAAATACAGTGGAGATTTGTTTCAGGATTGTTCAACAGAATAGAATGCAATGGGTTGGTCACAGGAACAGCACGAATATTTTCAATGGGAATTGGTTATATATATATATATATATATATATATAGCAGCACATTGCCATTTAAATTAAATTTGAATGAATTGTCGGCACCAGTTGCGGACAACAAATGCAGGTCAGCGAGCTTCAGACCCGTAAGGAACGCAGAGTGGCTACACCACTTCCAGTCCATCCATTGTGTATGGGTGTGTATATGTGTGTGTGTGTGTGTGTGTGCCATCAGGGGGATGACATCCATTTGGGCGACTGTGGGTGAGTGGGGAGCAGGTCATCCTCCAATCAGTTGGTTGTCGGTTCGATCCCGGGCCCGGCTAATCCGCATGTTGACCTGTCCTTGGGCAAGACACTTAACCCAACATTGCTCCTGTAGCTGCGACTACAGTGTGTGAATGTTAGATACTGATGGGCAGGTGTCACTGTGTATGGTTCTCCTGTC